CAAGATGTCCGTATCGAAACTTTGAACACCCTTTACGCATAGATATCATGCGCTGAAGAAACGCGATTACAGAAACAAAACGATGGCTAGGCAGCCATTTACCATTCGGATCGAACGTCGACGAAGGAATATGTCACTGCAGAGTCGTAGTGCAGTCAGACCATGAAAGAGATGTAGAAGCATGGGGACCAACTGGCCCAAGATTGTGTACGATAAAATTTCAAAATCGTTCAGAACATGGATTATTTCTGCTGTGTGCCCAATCAAACCCATGCTTCAAAAGGCCGTGACAAGTTAAAAATTCATGGTTGAATATAACTGACAGTAAACGAGCAGATTTACATCTGTCGATAATTTACAGAGCAAACTTAGCACCCGGATTAACTTGCAATCATATGGAAAGAAACAAACAGCGTGAAGATACCGTAGCCATTTACGACATCCAACAATCTATCAGCTAAGCTGGTCTTCGGTCCTACGACGGCGTCGCCTGGTGAGAAGCAAAAAATTTCGCGCTATATTACCTATGCAGGGGCAAAATATGTCCTAATAAACAAGAGAATTCTGGCTTTAGGAACACTGGAAATGAAAATCTGTTTCCCACCGTAAGCTCTAGGGTATAATACGGTTACAAATCGTGCTTATCATTAAAATACAAATAAAGGAGACATTCGGCGATCAAAAATTTTCAGTTGGCTTCATAAATCTATTTCATGCGCACTAACATGTACCGATTGAATAATGTGTATGGACGAACGGTAGTTTTAAACTCGAAACATAATAAGGAAATCCTTTAAGCATGTCTTCATCTTCCACGTCATGCTACATATTAATCGACAGAAAAGGAAAGGAAAGTTTACACCGTTGGAATGCCGGTCTTCCTTCATTTTCATAACTGACCTTCTTTTCATGAAATTGATGGCGCGGTGCTAATCTCCACTTCTATTCCAGCAGTCAGGAGTGCCTTACCTGCGCAAATGCAGCATATTACGAATGTTCGGACAGGGACCCATTTTTTAGCCATCCAAAGCACATGCCATATTAAGATGAGACTGTGCAACAGTTCTTTAGCATACTATGTTCAAGGAAAAACAACTTTCGCGGTTAGTATACGATGTATCTATCACCAATAGCAAATCAGTAACAGAGATAATATTTGTCGGATGAGTGAGGAGTCAATAAGCGTGCAGGCTATGATGGAACTCAGTATTTTCTACGGTAAGGATGCGGGAATTATTGATCTGTACGTGAAAATGACGGAATGGAATGTGTGAATGTCCGGTTATTGGGTTTATTGGTTAGTTACACTATCAAACGACATCTTAAGGTGTTGCAGAATCACAACAAATGGGAACTTTGGCATACTGTACATTTTGCTGTCGCCGTTTACTGATAAAACTCATTCATAATCATTCCGGTCGGTCAGTGTATAGCCTGCTAAGAGACGATACAAAAACCTTATTATAAAACGAATCCTCCGTGCTTTTTCTCATCTGGTATTAATACAGTGGTTGAATCCAATCCTCAATGATGATCAGAATGTCATAAACCTAGATGAACTAACATGAATGAATAAGAAACCATGTGAACTAGTTCGACCGCCGATGTTCATCAATTGACCATTAAATTTTCTTGACAAACCTTCAAAATCAAGGTATGTAGTTTGTACCACAAACTTTACATGGTATCAAGAGGGCAAGCCAAAAAAACGTTTCCGAAATCTATCAGAGGCGAACAACTCAGAGCAGAACTGGACGACGTGCGAAAGCAACTAGGTGCTGAATTTTGGCTTCTGATCGAAAAAACGCTGCGTAGGAAGAAACCGGTGATAAAATGGCAATAGTCGTGTGTGTTAAAATCCTTGTCACATGCGATGAGTAAACATACGTAGTGCTTCACGTGGGACCGGACAACGACTGATATACTTCATAACAGCCGAGAACAGCTACAATATAAAAACGCAAATTCTCAATACAAATCCATGCAAACGTAAATCCACTTCTGACGCGCTCTTACACACCGGATATAGCTGATGGATCAGCACTGTGAATACATTATATTCAGAAATTTTTTATTAAAAAGGCTCAAGTTTTTATATCTTATATGATTTGTATGGTAAATCTTCAGATACAAAAACAGTCATTTACGCGGAAATTCAGTTCAAAATTCTCAGTTGACAGCGCATATCGAATTTATCACACACAGCATATTCTGCAACGACTCAAATCATGATCGATTTGTCTTCAGGAGAGAAATATTACAAAAGGTTTTATTAAAATTTACAAAATTTGGCCGAAAGACAATGAGAACTTCCGAAATTAGCCAAGCCATTTACGTTGAAGATGGTCCGTTAGTAAAGAATTACTAGCCAAAACATCCGTACCGGTGAATCATCCAACTGACCAAGTTGTGTGCGTTGCGTATAAATAGAAAATGTTTTGTGACGCTTTCACAGAGCGTACCGGAATTTCGTTACTATATGCATATAATTCTGTGAAATTTAAAATACTCATTACTGCTAAATATGCAAATTAAGCAAAGAATAACTTTTGGATTCAGTCTGGTCAGGGTTAAATTAGTATACTTCCAGTTAGAGTTGCATCACAGAGCCATTTCCCATAATAACTGTATCAAATTGTCACCACTGTATGCCAAGACATTCAAAGTGGGCACGTCCACTGTGTAAATACCTTGTTTAGTTAATTT